AAAAAAAAAAAAAAAAAAAAAAGAAAAAAGAAATGAGATTCAGAAAGCTTGAAGATAGCCACATAGGAGCATAGATTCAAGTTGTCCTGAATTTCACAGCAGTCACAAGTTAGTTTTTAAGGAAAAAGAGTAGTTCCTGTTTATCGAGAATTTATAATAAAATAATGAGCAATTGATTGGCTATACATTGTTTTCTGTATCACAAATACCAGGAACAAATAATGGGTGATGCAGCTAGTTAGAAACAAAACTGCATCCCCAGTAGCTGGGATTACAGGTGCATGCCACCACACCTGGCTGAATTTTTTTTTTTTTTTTGACTTTCCGGCAAGAACCCAGAAAGCCTGCTAGGCAAATTCTAAAAGAGCTGTAACACTGATTTTTGTACTTTTAGTAGAGACAGGGTTTCACTATGTTGGTCAGGCTGGTCTCCAACTCCTGACCTGGTGATCCGCCTGCCACGGCCTCCCAAAGCACTGGGATTACAGGCGTGAGCCACTGCACACAGCCGTCTGGCTAATTTTTTTTTTTTCTTTTCTCCCCTCGCTCGCCCTCCTTGGCTACTTTTTTATATTTTAGTAGAGACGGGGTTTCACCATGTGGCCCAGGTGGTCTCAAACCCTGAGCTCAGGCAATTTACCCGCCTCGGCCTCCCAAAGTGCTAGGATTACAGGTGTGAGCCACTGTGCCCGGCCAGGTTACAATTCAAATTGTTTTCGCCTTCAAATCTTTGCCACCTCAGTGAGGCCTAATCTGACCACACTATTACACTGCAATTCCCCAGCTGCCTTCCCTGCTTAATTTTTGTCTAAAGCAATAATCACGTGATGTGTTAATTTTTGTAACCCCAGTTTCTACAGAAGTACCTGGGTGAGAGTAAGTGGGGTCTCAAAGGTTGAATTAACAAATTTTGGAATGACAGAACCTCCAGACAGGAGCTCCCTTCTGGGTTCCCACAGTCTCTGACGGCCCTCTCCTCTAAAGAGGTCCCAATAGCAAGTATTTTCCTGGATGACTTCCAGTGGGCTGGGGAATCAAGGACGAAGAGGGGAGATGTTGCATATGGAATATTCTGGCTGTGCTGGCTGTGGGCTGAGTCATGTGTCTTTCCCCATCCAGTGTCGTCCCTGGAGGAAGAATGCCTGCTGTTCTACCAACACCAGCCAGGAAGCCCACAAGGATGTTTCATACCTGTATAACTTCGACTGGAACCACTGCGGAGAGATGGCACCTGCCTGCAGACGGCATTTCATCCAGGACACCTGCCTCTATGAGTGCTCCCCCAACTTGGGGCCCTGGATTCAGCAGGTACACATGGCTTCCTGCAGGTACAAGACCTAGCAGAGGAGCTGAGCTTTCCGGGCATCTCTGCAAGCTGCATCCTCAGCTCCAGTTCTATTCAGGGCTGGGTTGCTGGGATTCTTGTGCCTGAGCCTTTCTTTTCTACCAAAATCTCCCAGGTGGATCAGAGCTGGCGCAAAGAGCGGGTACTGGACGTGCCCCTGTGCAAAGAGGACTGTGAGCAATGGTGGAAAGATTGCAGTACCTCCTACACCTGCAAGAGCAACTGGCACAAGGGCTGGAATTGGACCTCAGGTGAAGGCTGGGGTGGGGCAGGAAGGGAGGGATTTGGAAGTGGAGGTGCGTGGGTGTGGAAGAGGTATGTGACAATTTGGGGTTGTAGGGCTGGCAGACCCCAAGATAGTTCTGGGCGCAGTGGCTAAAGGTCTTCCCTCTTCTCTGCAGGGTCTAACAAGTGCCCGGCGGGAGCTGCCTGCCTATCTTTCCATTTCTACTTCCCCACACCCACTGATCTATGCAATGAAATCTGGAGTCACTCCTACAAGGTCAGCAACTACAGGCGAGGAAGTGGCCGCTGCATTCAGATGTGGTTTGACCCGGCCCAGGGCAACCCCAACGAGGAAGTGGCGAGGTTCTATGCTGCAGCCATGAGTGGAGCTGGGCCCTGGGCAGCCTGTCCTGTCCTGCTCAGCCTGGGCCTGCTCTGGTTGCTCAGCTGACTTCTCTGTTTACCGTCTGATACCTGGACATCCTTGCCCTGTTTAGCCCCATAGCTCCCAACTGTTTGGTTTCTGCTCCATGGTTGGGCCTCTGACAGCTACTTTGAATAAACCAGACATCCCACATGCCTTGAGGATTATTTGGGTATGAACGACAATGCGACTGTTTTGTCTCCCAATTCCCATTGATTGAAGCCGGTGAGACTGGGCCAAATCCCAGCTCTGACACTTGCTATGCACTAGTCTGATACTTAACTCTTTTTCCAACTTAGGAGACATTTGTAGCTCTCAGCTTTATTTTTCACTGTAGCTCCAATCTAGAGCCAAGCCCAGGCGTTTTTTGTTTGTTTGCTTTGAGACAGGGTATCACTCAGGTGACTGGCCCTGGGTAGTCTTGCAAACAAGGCCAACTGATGCATTACGTTCTCTACAGGACCAGTAATACCAAACAAATATGATTTGTTTACAGATATATTTGAATTAGTGGAATTTAAGATAACTACCATCTAAAATCAACTTTTTTTTTTTTTTTTGAGTCGGAGTCTTGCTCTGTCACCCAGGCTGAAGTGCAGTGGCATGATCTCATCTCACTGCAACCTCTGCTTACTGGGTTCAAGCAATTCTCATGCCTCAGCCTCCCAAGAAGCTGGGATTACAGGCATGTACCACCATGTCCAGCTAATTTTTGTGTTTTTAGTAGAGACCATGTTTCACCATGTTGGCCGGCTGGTCTCCGAACTCCTGACCTCAAGCGATCTTCCTGACTTGACCTCCCAAGGTGCTAGGATGACAGGTGTGAGCCACTGTGCCTGATCTATTTCTTTTCATTATTATTGTGTGTGTGTTTTTGTTTTGAGATGGAGTCTCTCATCCAGGCTTGAATGCAGTGGTGTGATCTCTGCTAACTGCAGTGTCTGTCCCTCAGCTTCTCCTGCATCAGCCTTCTGAGTAGCTGGGACTACAAGCATGTGCCACCATGCCCGGCTAATTTTTGTATTTTTAATAGGGACAGGGTTTCTCCATGTTGGCCAGGCTGGTCTGGAACTCCTGGGCTCAAGTGACTCTTGATTACGCTGGGATTACAGGTGCGAACCACCAAGCCTGGCCCACTTACTTATTTTTTGGACTAAAAGCATAGGTGATGAATGCAAAAATTGATAAATTGAACTTACAATTCAAAACTCTTGCTCTTTAAAAGACGCTCTTTTTATTTTTTTGAGACGGAGTTTTGCTCTTGTTACTCAGGTTGGAGTACAATGGCGTGATGTTGGCTCACCGCAACCTCCACCTCCTAGGTTCTCCTGCCTCAGCCTCCTGAGTAGCTGGGACTACAGGCGCATGCCACCAGGCCCAGCTAATTTTTTTGTATTTTTAGTAGAGAAGGTTTCACCATGTTGACCAGCATGGTCTCCATCTCTCGATCTTGTGATCCACCCGCCTCGGCCTCCCAAAGTGCTGGGATTATAGGCGTGAGCCACCGAGCCCGGTGAGACACTCAAGAAAATTAAAAGACAAGGCCGGGCGCGGTGGCTCAAGCCTATAATCCCAGCACTTTGGGAGGCCAAGGCGGGTGGATCACGAGGTCAAGAGATCAAGACCATCCTGGTCAACATGGTGAAACCCCGTCTCTACTAAAAATACAAAAAATTAGCTGGACATGGTGGTGCGTGCCTGTAATCTGAGCTGCTCAGGAGGCTGAGGCAGGAGAATTGCCTGAATCCAGGAGGCGGAGGTTGCGGTGAGCCGAGATCGCGCCATTGCACTCCAGCCTGGGTAACGAGCGAAACTCCGTCTCAAAAAAAAAAAGAAAAGAAAATTAAAAGACAAGCAACAGGCTGGAGGAAATATTTGCAAAACACATTTGATAAAGGATCTGCATTCATAATATACAAAGAGCACTTACAGGTCAGTAATTGTAAGGCAGACAACCCAATCAAATAATGGGCAAAAGAAATGAACAAACAGTTCATTAAAGAAATTACACAGGTTGGGTGTGGTAGCTAATGCCTATAATCCCAGCACATTAGGAGGCTGAGGCAGGCAGATGACTTAAGGCCAGGAGTTCAAGACCAGCCTGGCTAACATGACAAAACCGTGTCTCTACTGAAAATATAAAAATTAGCCAGGTGCAGTGATGCATGCCTGTAATCTCAGCTACTCAGGAGCCTGAGGCAGGAGAGTTGCTTGAACCTGGGAGGTGGAGGTTGCAGTGAACTGAGATTGTGCCACTGCATTACAGCTTGGGTGACAGAATGAGACTCTCTCGGAACAAAAAAAGAATATACACAAATTATGAGTAGTTATATGAAAAGATGCTCGACATTATTAATCATTAGAAAAATGCAAATTAAAATCCCAGTGATGTACCATTTTATACCTATTAGGGTGGCAATAATAAATAAGATAGGCAGTAACAAATGTTGGCAAGGATGTGGAGAAATGGGGACCCTCACACAGTGCTGATGTAGTAAAATGGTACAGCCCTTTGGAAAACAGCGTGGCAGTTTCTCAAAAAGTTAAATATAAAACTGCCATACAACCCAAAATTCCACCCCTAGGTATCTACTCAGGAGAAATGAAAACAAACATAACACTTAAATATGAATATCCATAATACTATATATCATTATACATAATAGCCCCAAGCTGGCAATAACTTAAATTTTTAGCAACTGGTGAATGGATAGACAAAATGTGGTGAATTCATACAGTAGAAGACTGTGCAGCAATGAAACATAATGACACATGCTATGTCATGGATGAGCCTCAAAAACATGCTAAGTGAAAGAGGCCCAAGATAAGAGGCTTCATGTGGCATGATTTCACTTACATGAAATGTACAGGAAAGGCAAATTTACAGAGGCAGAAAATACATTAGTTGCCTGGGACAGGAAGTGAGAACAAGGATTAATTGTAAATGGACACGAAGGGGGATGAAAATTACTTGGGGGATGATTCTGAGCTTCTGAGGGGTGTGCCCATGAGGGAAAGTATTCTAACAAATTTGGCCTGTGGCTCCATAAAATCATCAGAGACAAACTCCATTCCCATCATGAACTTTAAAAGATTGGTTGGAGGCTGAGTGTTGTAGCTCATGCCTGTAACCTCAGCACTTTGGGAGGCCAAAGAGGGTGGATGGCTTGAACTTAAGAGTTTGAGACCAGCCTGGGCAACATGGTGAAACCCAGTCTCCAGAAAAAAAAAATACAAAAATTAGCTGGGTGTGATGGCGTGTGCCTGTAGTCCCAGCTACTTGGGAGGCTGAGGTAGGAGGATCTCCTGAGCCCAAGGAGTTTGAGCCTGCAGTGAGCAATTGTACCACTGCAGTCCAGCCTGGGTCGACAGAGTAAGACACTGTCTCCAAAAAAAACAAGCTCGGATTTGGCAGTCAAGGAGTGAGTCTACCCTTGGTGTGAATAACATGAGAGTCATCATTTAGGAGGTGGCCCATTGACCAAGGACTTTTTTTAAAAAAGAGTGTTTATTCCAGTTGGCACAGGTAAGGTTTGCTAAACTGAGTGTTGGAGACCAGAGCCAGGGGAAAGAAAAAGGCTATATCATATGACTAGCAAAAAAAAAGGGAACATGAAGTACATTACCAAAAATAGACAATAACCACAATCATATATCTTTAATTAACTTTACTCCTTCCTTGTCTAGTTACATGTTCTTGGGCTAGCATCTTCCTCCAGAGAAGTCTTCTGCCTTGGGGCTGAAATTTTGCTAGAAATCCCTAGTCTCAGGACTCTGATAGTTTGGCTCAACCAAGTGTTAGTTTATGGTGATGATGTCAGATACATGGATTTATTTCCTGTCAGCAAAGTATAGTAGGTATCTTTAGAAAAACAAGAGGGGAGAATAGAAACGAGTTGTTGAGCTGAATGTGGTGACATGTGCCTGTAGTCTCAGCTACTTAGGAGGCTGAAGTGGGAGGATCGCTTGAGCCCAGGGAGGCTGAGGCTGTAGTGTGCGGTGATCATACCACTACACTCCAGCCGAGGACGTCAGAGTGAGACCCTGTCTCAAAAAAAAAAAAAAAATAGAGGTTGGTCCAAAGGTAGTGAGTTATCTCAATTGATTGTTCACAGTCAGTTACAGCTCGAACTCCTTGTTCTCTTTCCCCTCTTCTCACTACTGCACTTGACTAGTCTTTAAAAAAAAAAAAAAAAAATAGAAACTAGTTGTTGAGTGTATCAAATGGCCTAGCCAATCTATTCATTTTCAATATCAGAATGAAAGAAGAATATTCTCTGGAACGTACTACATAACAGCACAAACCTACCGATGACTGCTAGATTTCATGAGGTCTCAGATCATGGCTACATTGAGGAGAACTATTATTAGAACCTGGGGAGAGAGCAGGAGACAGGGAGGTTCATCTTCTCAACCGATTTAACTAACATTTTTCCTTAATTTTTAGACAGAGTCTTGCACTGACACCCAGGATGGAGTGCAGTGGCATGATCTTGGCTCACTGTAACCTCTACCTCCCAGGTTCAAGCAATTCTCATACCTCAGCCTCCTGAGTAGCTGGGACCACACACATGTGCCACCACACCTGGCTAATTTTTTTGTGTTTTTGGTAGAGATGGGGTTTCACCATGTTGGCCAGGCTGGTCTCAAACTCTTGGCTTCAAGTGATTCACCCTCCTCGAGCTCCCAAAGGGTTGAGATTATAGGCATGGGCCACCATGCCCAGCCTAACTTATATTTGATAATTCTATGCGTCTTATTTGGCTGAGCTCTACAGGTGAAACAGATAATGAATATATTTACAAATCTTGAGGGCCTTACAGTCTATTTTAGAACATGTGTACTACAATTGCTACCAATAATACAAGATTAAACTATGGAATAAAATCAACATGGGCATGAGTTTGACAGTCATTATGTAAGGCCTTGCACATGAATATGAGTATACTTTTATCCATCCAGGAAGGTCCACAATCATAGTCACAACACTACCTTGCATAAAAATTCTCTTGGCCGGGTGCAGTGGTTCACACCTGTGCAGCCTGGACGGCATAGTAAGACCTCGTCTCTACAAAAAATAAATAATTAGCTGGGTATGGTGGTGCACACCTGTAGTCCCATCTACTTGGGGAGGCTAAGGCTGGAGGATTGCTTGAGCCCAAGAGGTCAAGGCTGCAGTGAGCGGTGTTTGTGCCACTATACTCTAGCCTGGGTGACAGTGAGACCCCATTTCAAAAAAAATATCATCTAGAGGGAATGAGCCCCTCTTTTTGCTCTGACATCTTTTTCCACTTTGTGGACATGATGGACAAGGCAGCTCTTATAATACTGATACACTGATTTTAAAAATATGGAGCATGCCAATTATACCTAATTATTTTTAGTATCCCTCCTTGTATCCTTCTTTACTTATGAGTGCTATGCTGTGTGGGAGAGAATTTTTGGTGTAATCCAGTAGCTGTCTGGAAAGTGTAAGATGATTTTGCTATTAAAAAAAATGCCTTGATAGTTATATTATTTTGAATTAGGACCTGATCTTGGAGGACAACAGAAAAAAGTGTTCTTGGGGAAAGGCCTTCATCTTGGCTGTGTAAGAAAACTGTATTTTACAACAACCTTGTCATTAGGAATTTTAACTTCGTTATAGGGGAAGAATCCTATTGTTTTATGTTAGATCATGACCCAAGACAGTGACATAAGTCAGCACAACAGAAAAAAAAAAAAAAGAAAGAAAAATAACATGCTTTTTGAGAAGTGAAATTCACATTCAGTCTGGGCAAGGACCTAAAGTCTGCTGTCAGGGGAAAACACACAGGAAATAAAAAATATCTTTTGTTCTTCATGTTAAGAGTAGACTTACACTCAAATTTTATACTCAAAGATGATTTTTTATGAGCAGCCAATATTGTTTAAAGCTTTCCATTTCTTAAAATAGAAGTCATCTGAAGAAGCACTTCTAGAAGGGCAGAATAAGGACGTCTGAAAATTCATTCCTCAAAAAAAGCAAAAAAACACTGGCAAAAATGGTCAAAATCAACTTTTTTAGCCAAGTGCGGTGGCTCATGCCTGTAATCCCAGCACTTTGGGAGGTCAAGGCGGGAAGCTCACTTGAGGTCAGGAGTTTGAGACCAGCCTGGCCAGCGTGGTGAAACCCTGCCTCTACTAAAAATACAAAAATTAGCCAGGCATGGTGGTAGATGCCTGTAATCCCAACTACTTGGGAGCTGAGGCAGGAGAATTGCTTGAACCTGGGAAGCAGAGGTTGCGGTGAGCCGGGATCATGCCACTGCACTCCAGCCTGTGCAACAAAGGGAGACTCCATCTCAAAAAAAAAAAAAAAAAAAAAAAA